AAACAAATTATGTATGCAAAAGAAGTCGAGACTAATATAACAAACATTCAGCTTAAGAGAGAAAATTTTACAAAGACAAATGAAACCTCCTGAGCATTTTCCCTAGAGTTCATTCTCCCTCTTTTATCAAAGAGGTGACCACAAATCTGAATTTGGTGTCAATCATTAATGAACTTGTGTTAAAAATATTTTTAGTATATATATACTCATCCATAAATACTATATTGTTTTGTCTGTGTTTACGCTTTATACAAATGCTATACAATGGTATCTTCTTACATATATCCTATGTAAAGAAAAAAATACTTGATTTTTTTCTTTTGCTGGACCTGCTTTTGAGATGAATCCAGATTGACATATATCTCTGTTATTAATCAATTTATGGATATTGTTTAGTATTTTATTTTTTTCAGTTATAACTTCTATAAAATATTCTCCTGTATGACTATGCCACTATTTCTTTATCCTGATGGATATCCACCTGATGGATATTTCATAGGTTTTCCTTTGTTTTCACTATTATAACCAATGCATCAGAGACTTGCACAAGTCTTGTTGGGCAAATGGGTGGGACCTTATTTTGTAGGATATACCATGCATTTCAAATATGAGAAAATGGCAAAGAGTAGTTAAGCTGTGGACTTCTGGGTTCACTGTTTTCTCCCCTAAGCCCCAGCTAGGAGCTTGTTCAATCCTATGCATACATAGATAATATTAAATAAATATAATAATTTTTTATGATGATATGTATGCTGGATGACATTATGTATATTTCATTTCAGTTTCCAGGTTTTATGGACACCTTGTAAGTTCCATGATGCATTAGGAAAAAAAACATACTCAGTCTCAAACTGAATGTCACCTAAAGCAATGTGGAGCAGACTCACACACTATGACACTCTTGAGCTACCGTTACAAGGCTGTGATATAAAAATACAATACAAAACTATGTGTCCGAGGACACTGTTAAGAGACAGATGAGCAGGGCACCTGGGAGTGCTGCAGGAGTCCTCGTAGGCAGACACCCTTCTGCATGGTCATTTGAACTAGATGGAGGGATTTGCATCATGATGTTCAAAAGGGGAAGGAAGGGCAATGCAGACTGCAGGCACAAACCAAGTTTCTGAAGAGCGCATTTCTACTCCAGCAAATTACCATTTCTCCCCTGTAATTCAGTGAAGAACGAGACGGCTGAGCTGGAGACTGTATAAAGTGCCTATGCATGAAGTGAACCTAGACTACGGCATTTAAGCCTCTGAATAGCTGGCAGGTGGTCAATTTCTAAAGCAATCTCTTGGAGATTGATATGGAGAAAGATACGGGAAGTGCTGGAGTTTTATTACCTATCACTTAGCTGCTGGCATGGGCTTCTCTTCCCTCTTTCCCAATTTCCCTCCACTGTGTCTGCTCCCCTTCTTCTCCCCCTTTCAGTTTGCCTCTGTTATAATTAAAACAAATAGAAAACATTGCAGGTGTTTGCTATAAAGCATTTGCAAATACTGTATATTTTTAAAACCAGCTGCAAATTGTGTGATTTGGTCTTTAAAAAAAAAAATCTCTGAAAGACATTTCTGGAAATAAATACATCTTTCATCCTATAGATTTTGAATCTTCTTTTTGTTTGTACTTTAGCCCAGTTCATCATCATTTCTTCATAGCCTTGCACAGAAAGTTATGCCTTTAACTAGTGAGTGTTGCTCCTATTTTACAAAACATGGGGAATTTCTGGAATGATGGTTTAAAATGGAGAAACTGTTACTGTATCATCTGGTGCAGTTTTAGACAGTATTTCTCTTAGGCAAAACGACACCCAAGAATAACAGCATCTGTAAGAAGTGAAAGTGAAGAAAAAGTTTTTAAAAATGTGCTGAAATATTATCTTCAATAGTTGGAAGGGATCTGCCTTCCCCAGAGGAAACCAATATATCAGCACAGATAACATTGGGGACCTCCTTCCATTCACTCCTGGGACATCCATTCAGGTCTGCAAGTAATTTTTAAAAATCTGCCCCCAGGGAAGATGACAAGTTTCCCAGTTTTAGCTTGAACCTCAGCTATGTCTCCCTCTCTCTTTACTATCCAATTTCCTAGAGCCATGGAGTGGGTACAAGGACAGAGGAAGCCAGCTTAGCGGTGAAGAGCTCAGATTCTTCCAGGAGGATTTAAATCCTGGCTCTACTTACGACTAACTGTGATTGTTAAGCAAGTTATTTAACTGCCTTATGTTTTTGTTTCCTTGTCTAGAATATGGGGTCAGTAATACTATGTACATCATGGTCATAAGTCTTGTAAAGACATAGGGAGAAAATGCACTGAAACACTTACAAATACGTGCATGGCAGGTAAATGTTCCAGAAAGGGTAGGCAATAATGGTAGTGATAATGCTGGCGGAGTGTCGGTGATACTGCTGCCTCCCTCCGTTTTTTGCAACACCATAGTGCCATCTTGCCTGGATTATATCCATCCATCCATCCATTCAACAAATATTATAGACCTATGTGCCAAATATTGTTCTAGGATTCTATAAAAATAGTACAAGCACTTATGTTCACTAATATTTAAAGTACAGAGAAATGAAAATTATCTAACTAGTAAAAACTTACTAGTGACAAAAACCAGAAGATTGGCATTTGCATTCATGGGAAATTAGCAGAAGGTTGACATAAATGGTCTTGGTTATGAGGCGTGCTGTTTCCACACCTGTATTTAGTGCGTGGGTACTCTGTTGCACCTTTCTTGACTTCAATAACCAACTTTGCATAATAAATTAAACTTCCATCACTGAGAAATGCAAACCCTTCAAAGTGACCCCTAAGCCAGCAAAGAAATGTATAAACCCCAGTCTCAGATCAAAGGACTCGGAAGCCATCTTCACTTACAAGCCATTACCATCCAAATGGCTTTTCTGTTTGATTCAAACTTTATTCTGTATGAGGGTACAGTCATCAGGCAACAATTTTTCCCTTTGAATTCATTAGTAAATATTTGGTTATTTTTCTCTTTCATTAAAATCTAGTTTCCTATCAGCCTTCTTGTCTTTTATTTCCCTTTCATTATAGCTTGCATTCTTATCTGCCCTGGAGACCACGCCATTGTTCATTCCACTCATTCCTTTCATTCATCCAATATTTATTAAATGCCTACTAATGTCAGGAACTTGTCACTTCTCTCCTCAGTCACTTGTAATGGCACCCTTTCATCTACTGATTTAAGCCTGAAGCCTTCATTCTAGTTCATCCTGATAGTTTATTTTCCATCATAACTGTACACACTCCAGGGAGGTCACAGGCTAGTCCTTTGAACATAAACCATATGTGTTTTTATTTTTATGCCTCTGTTCTCCTACAGTGTGCCCCCTTCTAGCAAAATTTTTTAGCAAATTTTCAACTACCAAAATCCTTCTTATCTTAAATGCTTTGCTAAAGACTTGCTTCCTCTACACAGTATCCTAGAACAATTCTACCTTTGCTGTTCCCAGACTTTAGAACTTCATAGATGTCTACATTTAAAAACTTAGAGAGGCCGGGCGCAGTAGCTCAAGCCTGTAATCCCAGCACTTTGGGAGGCCGAGGCGGGTGGATCACAAGGCCAAGAGATCGAGACCATCCTGGTCAACATGGTGAAACCCCGTCTCTACTAAAAATACAAAACATTAGCTGGGCATGGTGGCATATGCCTGTAATCCCAGCTACTCAGGAGGTTGAGGCAGGAGAATTGCCTGAACCCAGGAGGCGGAGGTTGCAGTGAGCCGAGATCGCGCCATTGCACTCCAGCCTGGGTAACAAGAGCGAAACTCCGTCTCAAAAAAAAAAAACCTTAGAGACTAACATAAATTGGTATTTTTTCTTTTATTATCAAATGAAACTATTTTAAAATGCCAGTTGCCAGCTACTATTACTGTTGCTTCATTTTTTTTTAAAGGCCTATTTAACACTAGTAGGAAATTCAGAATAGAGGATAATACATTAAATCAATTTAGCTTTAGAAAATCATATTTGTGTGTTTTTTTGTTTGTTTGTTTGTTTGTTTTTTGTTTACCATGAGCATTCATTAACTAGCATCTGGGAAGCATTCATGTGTGGCATTGCTAGACACTAGACAAAATGAGTCAGAAATGCAGGGTCCTTTTCCAGTTTGGCAGGAAATCAATACTCCCAGCACTCTATCGTTACAGCAGGCATTGTGCTAAGCAGCTTATTACTTCAACTCACCTAATTAATACACACAGCAATCCTATGAGATAGATATTAACATCCCCATTCTATAGATGAAGAAATAAAAGCTTACAGAATTTAAATTAACACCCAAAGTAGCAAAGCTAGCAAATGGCAAAGTTACTATTTAAACCCAGGTCTATACAATTCTAAAGCTGGCACTCTAAAATTCTACGCAATATTGCCTCTTAGAAGTATAAAATATGGAAGGTCTAATTTGCTACAGATTTCTTCCCAGGTCATTTAGAAGAACTTCCAAAGTTGAAATTAGCACATGTTGGGGTTTAATCCAGGTTTTTACAAGACTAGCAGTAGTGACATTTTGGGCTTGGTAATTCTTTGTTGTGGGAGCCATCCTGTGCTTTGTAGGATGTTTAGCCGCTGGCTGCCACTAGTACTCCACCAGTGATAACAACCAAATGTGTCTCCAGATATTGTCAAATGTCACCTAGTGGACAAAATCACTCCCAGTTGAGAACCACTGGTTTCATCCAATCTTGCTTTATGGACCTGTCTGAAAACAACCTAAACATAAATGACTACAAAGGTGAAAATAGTTGCACTGTGCACAAACGTTTTCTACAAACAGCTCTGTAAGATGGTTTTAATAAACAACAACACTGTCATTTAATTCAAGTACAATTTAAGACATTCCTCAAAAAAATAATTTTAAAGAAATTTAGCTTGTGTAAGAAAACAATTTTATTTTTGTTGTTGTAAGAGGAACATTCCAAAAACTTAGTTCAAACCAAGAGAAACAACAATCAACTCCTTTATAAGGTTACTGTGTAAAGGATGTTCAGGGAATAATTGACACTATCCAGCTGAAAAGGCTTCCTCCTGATAAAATGCAACCATTAGCCAGATCAAACAGTCTCTCAAGACTGAATATAGATGGCAGCGAGATATCAAATGGGACCTGAGGAAAAGCATAAAAGTGTTCATGAAATACATTGTTTCAAACTGTTGACAAAGTTTTCAAAATATGCAAATACCAATTTCTAATAATTTTATATGAGAGTTAACTTGTGTGCCTCAGGTAAAGCATGAAGTTTCATATCTCTAAACTGCTGAAATGGCACATATATCATGTCACATCCTATTAAGATTCACATATTAGCCCATAAAACAGCAAACACTTCTAAAAATATGGACTATTTGTATTTATATAATCATTGTACATGGTTCTAAATGTAGGACTTTTGGCCGTTCTCTTAAAACGCTTTCCTGTGTAACAGATTGACCAGTTGGCAAATCTCCTGTCTCTCATAAGTCTTGACACAGTGAAAGAGGAAGCACCAGGAAGTTATGTTTGGAAATCAGTCTATCTGAAAGAGACACTGCATAACCATGAGCAAGAACTACAGCCAAAGTCATCCTGGGCAGGCTGAAAACTGGAAAATAAAGACTGCTTGTGTGGTCATAGCATTTGGTTATTGGTTGGGGGAAGGCCAAGGAGGAGAGAACAAAATTGAAGGGAGGAAAACAAATGTTTGCTAGGGACCCACTTCATGCCAATCTAGGTAAATACTTGCATAGAATGACCACAATGAGTTACAGCCTTGTGGGTCTGAATGCTGGTTTAAAAAAAAAAAATAGAGGACAAGTTTCTATTAATTTTTGTCTACTTGTTAAATGAGCCAGACATTTGTTTTATTTTCAAGAAAGCATAATGAACCTAAATGTGGATACTGCATTTGGAGGCTGGTTTTTGTTAACTTTTACATCACTTTTTTGGATTAAAAAATGATAAAGTATTCCAGTGTTTTCTATAACTGCTAACAATAAAGAGATGCATAAATAAAAAATTAATATCTCACTTCCTTGATCAATCCTATATAATCAATGTTTCCATATTGGAAGGTATATGGGATAGTTCTTTTCTTTCTTTTTAAAAATGGAATTATTTGGTTTCCATTATTTGCTTTCTCAATTAGCAATATATAAGATAAATCCCTCTTAATCAATTCAGGGAGGCAGAATAACTACATGGTGTTAAGAGTGTGCAACCTGGGGCCGGGCGAGGTGGCTCACGCCTGTAATCCCAGCACTTTGGGAGTCTGAGGTGGGAGGATCACAAGGTCAGGAGTTCAAGACCAGTCTGGCCAACATAGTGAAACCCCATCTCTACTAAAAATACAAAAAATTAACCAGGCATGGTGGAAGGTGCCTGGAATCCCAGCTCCTCAGGAGGCTGAGGCAGGAGAATCACTTGAACCCAGGAGGCAGAGGTGGGTTCAAATTCAGACCTTATCACTTACCAGTTATGTGGGGCTGGGTAAAATGTTTAAACTGTTTGAACTTTAATTTCTACATGCATAAAATATAAACTATCTATTTTGAATTGATCTTTGTATATGATATAAAGAAGGGGGTCTAGCTTCAATCTTCTGCATATGGCTAGCCAGCTACCTCAGCACCACTTATTGAACAGGAAGCCTTTTCCCCATTGCTTGTTTTTGCCACCTTTGTTGAAGATCAGATGGTCATAGGTATATGGCAACATTTCTGGGCTCTCTATTCTGTTCTATTGGTCTATGTGCCTATTTTTGTATCAGTGCCATGCTGTTGTAGTTACTGTATCCCTGTAGTATAAAGTCAGGAACATAATGCCTGTAGAGTTGTTCTTTTTGTTTAAGATTGCCTTGGCTATTCAGGCTCTCTTTTGGTTCCATAACTTTAGTTCCATGAATTTTTAAATAGTTTTTTCTAGTTCTGTGAAGAATGTTGTTGGTAGTTTGATAAGAATAGCATTGAATCTGTAAATTGCTCTGGGTAGTATGGCCATTTTAATGCTATTGATGCTTCCTATCCATGAGCGTGGGATGTTTTTCCATTTGTTTGTGTCCTTCCTGATTTATTTGAGCAGTATTTCATAATTCTCATTGCAGGGATCTTTCACATACATGGTTAGCTGTATTCCTAGGTATTTTATTCTTTTTGTGGCAATTGTGAATATTATTGCATTTCCAAATCTATGCAAATCCTGAAGATGACTTAGGCAATACCATGCTGGACATAGAAATGAGCAAAAATTTTATGAAAAAGACACTAAAAGCAATCATAACAAAAGCAAAAAGTGGCAAGTGGAATCTAATTAAACTTAAGAGCTTCTGCACAGCAAAAGAAACTACAAGAGTAAACAGACAACCTAGAGAATGGGAGAAAATATTTGCAAATTACGCATCTGACAATTGTATAATATCCAGCATCTATGAGGAACTGAAACACAATTTACAAGAGAAAAACAACCCCACTAAAAAATGGGCAAAGGATATGAACAGACACTTCAAAAGAAGACATACCTGCACCCAGGAAGCATATGAGTAAAACCTCACTATCACTGATCATTAGATAAATCAAAACCACAATGAGATGCCATCTCACACCAGAATGGCTATTGTTATATTAAAAAGTCAAAAAATAACAGATACTGGCAAGGTTGCAGAGAAAGAGAGAACATTATACACTGTTGGTGGGAGTGTAACTTAGTTGAACCATTGTGGAAAGCAGTATGGTGATTCCTCAAAGCACTAAAAGTGGAACTATCATTAGACCCAGTAATCCCATTACTGGGTATATACCCAGAGAAATGTAAATCATTCTACCACTGAGACATGTGCACACAAATGTTCACTGCAGCACTATTCACAGTAGCAAAGACTTGTGCATTGGTCCATTTTCATACAGCTGTAAGGAGCTTCCTGAGACTGGGTAATTTATAAGAAAAGAGGTTTAATTGACTCACAGTTCCACATGGCTGGGGAGGACTTGGGAAACTTACAATCATGTCAAAAGGCAAAGGGAAAGCAAGCACCTTCTTCAAAGGGTAGCAGGAAAGAAAGAACGGAGGAAGGGCCACTTTAAAACCATCAGATCTCATGATAACTCACTATCACAAGAACAGCACAGAAGAATCCACCCCCATTATTCAATCACCTCCCACCAGGTCCCTCTTTGAATTTGAGATGAGATTTGGGTTGGGACACACGGCCAAATCATATCAACATGGAATCAACCTAAATGCCCATCAATGACAGATTAGATAAAGAAAATGAGGTACATATACACCATGGAATACTACACAGCCATAAAAAAAGAATGAGATCATGTCTTTTGTGGAATATGGATGAAGCTAGAGGCTACTATTCTCAGCAAACTAATGCGAGAACAGAAAACCAAATACCATGTTTTCCCTTATAAGTGGAAGCTAAATGATGAGAACTTATGAACACAAAGAAGAAAACAATAGACACCAGGGTCCACTTGAGAGTGGAAGGTAGGAGGAGGAAGAGGAGAAGAAAAGACAACTATTGGGTACTGGGCTTGATATGGTTTGGCTGTGTCCCCACCCAAATCTCATTTTGAACTGTAGTTCTCATAATCCTTATGTGTCATGGGAGGGACACGGTGGGAAGTAATTGAATCATGGGGGCAGCTACCTCCATACTGTTCTTGTGATAGTGAGTGAGTTCTCGAGAGAGCTGATGGTTTTATAAGGGGATTTCCCCTGACTTCACTCTGTACTTCTGTTTGCTGCTGCCATGTGAAGAAGGATGTGTTTGTTTCCCCTTCCACCATGAATGTAAGTTTTCTGAAGCCTCTGCAGCCCTGCAGAACTGTGGGTCAATTAAAGCTCTTTTCTTTATAAATTACCCAGTATCATGTATATCTTAATTAGTAGAGAGAGAACAGACTAATTCAGTAAACTGGTATCAGAAGTGGGGTACTGTTGTCAAGGTACCTGAAAATATAGAAATGACTTTGGAACTGAGTAACAGGCAGAGGCTGGGACAGTGTGGAGGGCTCAGAAAAAGATGGGAAAATGTGGGAAAGTAAGGAACTTCCTAGAGACTTGCTGAATGGCTTTGACCAAAATGCTGATAGTGATATGGATGATAAAGCCCAGGATGAGGTGGTCTCAGATGGAGATGAGAAGCTTGTTGGGAACTGGAACAAAGATGACTCTTGTTATGCTTTAGCAAAGAGACTGGCAGCATTTTGCCCCTGCCCTTCCTAGAGATCTGTGGAACTTTGAACTTCAGAGAAATGACTTAGGGTATCTGGTAGAAGAAATTTCTAAGTGGCAAAGCATTCAAGTGGAAGCAGAGCATAAAAGTTTGGAAAATTTGCAGGCTGACAATGCAATAGAAAAGAAAAACTCATCTTCTGTGGAGAAATTCAAGCCTGCTGCAGAAATTTGCAAAAGTAACAAGAAGCCAAATGTTAATTACCAAGACAATGAGGAAAATGTCACAATTTATGCTCCAGAGCATGTCAGAGACCTTTGGGGTAGACCCAGGGCCTGGAAGGGAAAAATGCTTTCAGGGGCCGGGTCCAAGACCCCCGCTGCTGTGTGCAGTTTAGGGACTTGGGGTTCTGCCTCCAAGTTGCCCCAGCCATGGCTAAAAGGAGCCAAGGTACAGCTCAGGCTATGACATCAGAGAGTGCAAGCCCCAAGCCTTGGCAGCTTCTACATGGTACTGAGCCTGCAGGTGCACAGAACTAAAGAATTGAGGTTTGGGAACCTGCACCTAGATTACAGAGGATGTATGGAAATGCCTGGATGTCCAGGCAGAAGTTTGTTGCAGGGGCAGGGCCCTCATGGAGAACCTCTGCTAAGGCAGTGCAGAGGGAAATGTGGAGTCAGAGCTCCCAAAGTCCCCACCGGGACATTGCCTAGTGGAACTGTGAGAAGAAGGCCACTATCCTCCAGACCCCAGAATGGTAGATTCACTGATAGCTTGCACTGTGCACCTGGAAAAGCCACACACACACACACTCAACACCAGACTGTGCCAACAGCCAGGAGAGGCACTATACCCTGCAAAACCATAGAGGCAAAGCTGCCCAAGGCCATGGCAGCCCACCTCTTGCATCAACATGCCCTGGGTGTGTGACATGGAGTCAAAGGAGCTC